CTCTTGACACCTCGAGAAATGAGTCAAACAACGGAGACACGGCTTCCAGCAGAGACGAACCGAGTAACAATCCCGGATCCTAGTGACACCTTGGGTGATCCCGTCGTAGAACAGACAGTGAGAAAACTGATAGAGACCGCTGGACGATTGGTCGCTAACAAGAATGCACCAGGTTCCGGGGTGACCGCACTCTGACTGGAGCGACTTTAGAAATGGAAATACTCAGTCAATGTGGAGAGAGTAAAATGAGGGACTTCAAGCCATCTCCCATGAATCATGGAAAGGGAAGTGTTGCAGGACAACTAACACCAGTGGAATACAACAGACTGACAGTGTCTGAGACAGTGTCGATAGATGAACCCACCGGTGGATACATGGAGATGTTGGAATACCGAAACTCGGCTAGAGGGCATGTAATGGCCCTGGAAGAGGAAAAAGCCATGGAGGGTTATCTGGAAACAATGTTGCAAGGCACCACCCTCAAGCAGAAGGCGTACGGAACTTTGGCGTCGTCTGACATACAGGCGGAGACGATCGAGCAGTTGGTGAGCCTTCCATGGAAAGCAGTAGTATTGAGGTATTTCGAAGAGGAAATGAGGACTACGCCAAGAATACATGCTCTCGTGGCAGTACCTTACGTAAGGACGGAATTACAACTCAGGCTCGCCTGGTGCATGATGGGACTGACTCGCGAAGAATATGATTCAGAAGAAAGGAAGAGATCAAAGGAGGAAAAAGTTTTCCTTATGACGAATCTGAGGGATCTGATAGTCCAGGAGGGAGCAGCAGTAGCGTGTGCAAAGCGGAGAGACGCTCTCTGTTTCATTCGATTCCTGATAGAGCAGATCTCAGTACCTGCATTAAGCACTTGTGTTAAAATGTTGAAGGAAGGCGATGAGCGAACGAAAGCCATGTTCTTACTAGCAATGCTGGATATGCAGCAAAGTAAACCGATGAGGGTGAACATGAAAGAACCTGAAGAATTGGAACCCATGAAAAAGATAGACGAGATCAGGAGATTCTCAAACAAGGAGTTGAGGCTCACTAAAGAATCTATGGGAGCATTGCCGAAATCCAGTGAATACGGTGGACCGATCAAGAAGAAGTCATATAGCTATGTATCCGGGATTATAGGGATGGCATACAATCCTTTCCTGAGTGAAGACATACGTGATTGCTTCTTTGATTATGAGCAGGCGGTGTTACTAAGATTCTGGACGTCCAGAATTGTGACGACTAAGAGCGTTAACAATCCACAGGCCAAATTGGGATTGGTCTTGGAAGAAGAGGTGACTGCACCTTCAGTACCAAAATCCGACAAGAGAGTGGAATTTGGGTTGGGATTCTCAGATGAATTACTGAGAACGAGCTTGATGGCAGTGTGGGAATTGATGAAGCCATCGTGGTGTCCTAGTCCCAACGCTGACTCAATATTACGGGCGACACAGGACATACAGAGGGAACTGAATGTGGACCGTAACCTGCGTGACCTCAACATCATATATAATGTGATGATAACAGCCTCTAAGAGCAACGGAGAAGATAGAGTGGAGTTGCCTGGCTGGGGACCAGAAGACTGGGTCAAACCTGGTAGCTGTCTGGCGGAAGTCTGTGGACTAGAGGGTCACGTTTGTGGAAGTCTAGACTGTGTGAAAACCCTGGAGAAACAACACAAGCAGTTGACGGTGTTGTTTGGAAATGTAGTGATGAAAGCAAAAACGGAAACGGAACTGATAGCAGATTGCCATGGAGGAACCGATGTGAATCTGGTGACAGCACTAGGATTCTACAGCATGTTTGGTTCTTTAGAGTCACTATTGAATCTAGAACAGAAACATGAGATGGTCACAGCCATCAGCGTAGAAGTATTCCCAGGGGTTCTGCAGACTGAGCAGAAGTATATAGGAAAATGGAGGGAAGCAATCGAAACGGAGATGAACATCAGACACAGCGAAACTTATTGTAGACCATCAGGAGCACGATATTTGGTGGGTTCAACGTTGGCTCCAATGTGCAAGAGCAGATACCCTGTACATTTCGTGGCTGTGGACGTGAAGAGTACAAGAACGATCGTGGATCAAGCTTTCTCAGTGCCAAAGTGCGTGAGATTGGCGAGAATGTCTGAAAAGTCTTACGAGTTACTATGTAAGATGTTCTCAGCAGTCCCAGAAAGAACCAAAGAGGAGTTGGAGTCAATACTAGGAAAGAAGTTCATGGGATATGTGAGCGGGAACTTCAGTGACTTTGAAAAACAGAAACAGAGAGGATCAACTGTCACAGATTACAATGCAGTAGATGAGAATGATGAGATCCACCGAGTGATGATGGAAGTGGAGCCATTGCTGGAAGCTTCGGGAAAACGGAATTGGAGGAGCATCATGTTGACACATGACGAGTTTCCTTGCCACTGCTTGCTGCAGACCTGGTGGTATCCCAAGCGTAGTAATCTGGTGTTGATCTGGGACTCTGGAGAGCTGCTCTCCATGGGTTTACCAGATTCATCACAGCCCATAACAATAGTGATAGTGGGAGTTATGATGGCGATACGATGGCTGGAAGCTCATGTGAGAGAAAATAATAGACAGGAGGCACCGACGAGAGAACAATTGCAGAAATTAGATTGTCTAAAAGATTTAGATCTTTTTGAGACAATGTGCAAAGTTCTAAACATTCCGATGGAAGTGAAGAAGATATGGGCAAGAAAACGATTGATGCCATGGTTCAGAGCTAACATGACTGCATGGTTGTACGAGTATGCGAAAAAGCATATGTCGAAACATGGCAGAGTGTACAGTGAATATCAGCTGGACATTGGGGCAGGAGCTTTCAAGCGAACTTTCGTGACCCATCGGAATGCAGTGACCACCGCTGTGAAAAGAATTTCCAGGACGAGCGAGCGTAGTGGAAGTGAGAGGGCAGAGATGCTGAAAGAAGATTTGGAAAGAAACGTGGCGTTGTGTCTCCACAATAGCTTCTGTAGAAACAGAGAATCAAACGTGGATCCCCTACCTTGCTGTAAACAGAGGGTGGAAGAGCAGAAGTGTTGGAGGACGGCTTCCAACAGCGTCAGGATAGTCAATGACGTGCTACAAGACACGGAGACCGAGAGTGCAGAGTCAGCGTCACAGGAGGAGGAAATGGAGCATTGATGAGTGGTCGAGAAAACAAGAGGCAACAAGAAAGAAAATTAGAAGAATTTAGAAGTTTTAGAACTTCTAAACGACGAAAAAAGAAGAGAACAAAGGGATGATGAAGAAAAGTTAAAACTCAAAATTGTTTTATGTGTGTGAAAAACTCAAGTGAGAAACCAAGCAACCAAGTTGTAATTGAAAACTGAAACATTTAAGTTGAGTTTGGAAATTGTTGCATTTATAAATTTGCATTTTGGTTTTAGTTGAAGTGGCTTTAGAGACACTCACTTATTATTTATTTAGAAAGGCTTGAGGGAAGAGTATATTTAAATATTCCAGCCTGCATGATTGTTTTTAATCACTTAGGAAGACTGATCACTTTGTGGTGACATGAAAAACTTGAGTAACTTCTTGAGGAGGGAGGTTGTTGCATTGTTCTTTCTAACCACAAAGTTTCTTAGTTTTAATATTCAGGACAATAAACAAGCAAGATTTCCGAAGGGAAGGAGCATAGTAGGATAATTTTAGCTTGTTGGTTGGCAGGACTGTCCTGCAAGCCAACACCTTTTAAATCTAGGAGAGAAAGTTTCAATCGGGATATTGACACTGGAAGTCAGAAAATATGTTTTATCTTAAGTCATATCCTCAAGGTGCAGATTAATGAAAGAATTTGAAGGCTATAGTGATGTAGTATGATGCCATTTATATTCTGCAGTGAGTCGATGTGACGTAGGTAAAAGTAATTTCGTGCATTTTGTAAATTCTGTTCGATGACACTGTAACCATTTAGAACATTGCGCGATTCAATGAGGACATTGACCGGACTGTCCGGGGAGTATGTGACATTCGACCAGAATGGCCAAAATGCAGTCTCTGCAGAATTCGGTATTTTAGCAGCAAGCCTTCCGAATTGGCGATTTAGAACGGATAAGGACGTTATTTGAACGATTAGCCAAACGGTGAAGGCTAGAAGATTCTGGAATTCTAATTTTTAAAAATTCGAATTATGACGTCATATTTCTGAGAAACGTCAGAGACGGCCATTTTAGCTAAAATAGCAGAAAAGAAACAGAACAACTTTATCTGCGATTACGAACAGTACGAAATCGAGGCTAAAAGAACAACAACGAACTATCGAACAGCAGAGGACGTTCCGAGTTGCAACTATTGTGCTGTTACAATAGTTGCAAGGCCGTTGCGAGCAACGGTGAAGGGTAAAACCCAGCCTTCCGAGTTATTGTGAACTGGATATTAAGAAGCTTGATTCACCGGATTCAAGAATCCGGAAGGGTCTCGGGACGTGGACTTTTATGAACTTATATTGAATTTTAGCATCCGTCATGTCCTGACTTGAATTTAATTAAGATCTTAATTCGTTTTGACAAGAATGAGGAGCTAGAAGTAGAGGGGGAAGGGTTGATCCATCTTCGATGGAGATGATGATTTTTATATACTGAACAAAAACAATAGTAATATAATAAGTAGTAGCCCTGTTTTTAGGAGTGACCTCGTGGTCTGGGGATACAGAGACCCAGCCATGAGCTCACTAACTTTGCATGTAATTCAGTTAATTTGAGCGTTCTGGTCGAAGCCGGAGAACAGTAGCGTTTTTGTCAGCCTGATGTAAGAAAGACCACCGAAAAGTACTGGCTTGGTAGAGACGGTGAAAAACATGCAAAGCTCTGTTTAGACGCTAGCCAGTCGTCTTAAGACTTAGTTTTGTTATCCGTCGATATGTATCTTCCGGGCGAATGTTACAAGTATTTCGAAAATGGTTTTGTGCAAACAAACTGGTTTTGTGTTCTATGGTACTTTTGACCTTCGTTTTGTTTAATAGCTTGTCAGAAAGAGTAGATCGATTTTGCTTCTAGAAACGTATGGATTCGGGAGATCTAGATTCGTTTTTGGAGAAAGTGGACCACGTTACCGATGTTATAAAGGGTTTGGCAGACAACGACCAAACTGCAACTGATAAAGCTAATGAGATGCTGAAAAATGGAAAGAGCTCAGAATGTCTTGGATTCAATGCAACACGCATAAATAAGGTTACAGAACGAGGTTTGTCCGAATCTTTGCTCTTTAGTTGTAGCATTTAACTTTGTTGTTTGGTTCAAATTTGGCATCTTCTCATGCCCTAGTATATAACATCAATCCACTAAAACAAGTGGTAGTCAGCTTCTTTCGTTGAAATTGGGCTTTTTTTCGATGGATTAGAAATCATTTATATGTTGATTTTCCTTCCCAGCGGCATATGTCGACTTCTGAATTAATTATCAATTTTACCCAACAAAAGAAGTTTAATTTTTCCGTTTATCTACTGTAGTTTTTCATGCTAAATTTACGTACTACTATTTTTTAAGATGAAGAAGACACATAAGTGCAATAGAAGCAGGGCTGGATTTTTCCGTTTATCTACTGTAGTTTTTCATGCTAAATTTACGTACTACTATTTTTTAAGATGAAGAAGACACAAAAGTGCAACAGAAGCAGGGCTGGATGGACGAAATTGCGGCGGATGCTGAAAAAAGAGCCAGGAATCGAGCGATTCGCAAGAAGGAGAGCGATCAATTCAAATACAAAGGTAACAAAAGTTTAGCTGAAGGTGATCTACAGTCAGCCTACAATTTCTACTCACAAGGAATTGAAATTATGAAAGATAACCTACCTCTTTGGACCAATCGAGCTCAAGTGTCGATTAAATTGAATCGACTGCAAGAGGCTATCGATGATTGCGACTTTGCCTTCAGAATTGAAGAGGGATGTCTGAAAGCATTTGTACATAAAGCGAAAGCACTGGCGTTAATGAAAAAGTATGAAGATGCTCGTAGTTGTCTGCAGGATGCGTTAGAAGATGAATTTAAACCAACTGCAGCTCGTAAAAAGACAGTGGCGGAGTACATGGACTTAATAGATGAGATGGAAAATGAATATCGTATGAGTGAATTGGCAGATAAAGTGAGTAAATGTTACTTATCTTCCCTTTGGTTCTTCTGGATTTGCTGAATTTTTGTTAAATTTCTCTGTAATGTTCAGCTGAAATACGGTATCAATCGTACAGTCCCCCTCCAATCGATTTAGGGGGAGAAAATGTGGACTGTCCAAAAGTGAGTTAGATCCCCCGTTGTCAAAAGATTTTATCAGGGTTGTTGTTCCGACCACTGAAAGTAGGGAGGAACTTTGTATTCCGATGTTTGTTTGTTTTTCAATTTTTTTGTTTTCCACGCCAAATCAGGTGCCTTTAATAATCGTCGAAAGGGGTTGAGTGGTATATCATATTAAAGCCCTTTCAATCGTGATTCGACCGACTCTGAAAATTTTTGATAACATTTTCTCATTGTCGAGAAAAACATATTTGAAGATTTAGATCTTATTTCAAGCGAGTAACGCCAGCGAGCAGGCTTTTTACAGAATCTGACAGTGCCTGTTTTTTTTTCAACCTGGAAATATTCAGTTTCAAAAATTTGCCGGCTTCTGTGTTTGCGAATGCTGTTTCGGCTTAGTTGGCTTGTAGAAATGTTATTTTTTGCTGTTTTTCGCTTTAAAAATTTTATTCTGCTCAAACGGTTTCGGTGTATATTTTATTGCTTCAGTGACCCAAATTTTGATTCGTTTCAAGGGAAACATATATTTTTGCTTCACTCTGGAGCGCTCAAATTATTTAAAATCTTAGAATAGAAATTATTCTAAGTTTTTCATGGCAACAATCTTGTTTCGGTTTTAAGGGAATTTACCCAAGTTTTTCGGCTTATACCGCTCGATAAAGTTTTTAGATTTCCAATGAACGCCGTCGATTGTGTTTCTTGGCATGTTTTGCGCTAATAGATAATCAGTGGTGATAAGTTTCAGTAGTGGTTTTTTCATTTTGTTTCTGCATTTTTTGGACTTAGTGGCTCTCGTTTTATCCTGTCTGCTAGCTTGCAGTGCTGTTAATATGTGGTATCACAAGTGGCGCGAAGCTTCGCTTTGCTTTTGTGTTTTAAATTTTGAAGATTTTTTGTTGATTTTTGGGTAAGTGCAGATTCGCCTCTCTGACTAATTAAATCTGCAATTTATTTCTTAATTGGAAGCCAGATTTATGTATAGATGTAGGCGAACTGTTCAATGTTGGTACAAGATTCGTTCATGTCGAGTACCGGTCGGATATTTCTTGTCGTTTCGGATTCATGATTTGTAAAAGCAAAAAAACCAAGTGATTGTCACTTTATAGGTTGCGAACATTTTTGTGGGAAAGTTGTTCACGCTCAAACATAATTTTTCGACGTTTTACTATTGATTTCTATTTTAGTTCAAAACATTTCCTTTGTTGAAAGGAAGGCAAACTCCTCCATCGAACAGCAAAAGTCTTACGGTCACTAAAAACATGAATAAATTCTATTCAATTTTCCCAGCGGCAAAAAAATTACCTATTGATCCAATTTTCTCTAAATGGGATATATAAATGCTTTAGTACAAGTGCCAATTCTGATAAGCAATTTTTGAAATTTATCATTGTTTTTTCAAAATTCGAAAACTTATAAACGTTCAATCATTTTTTTGGTTTCCCTGTTTTCCAACAGTTACAAACACATCTGCTGATTAATTTCCTCTAAATTGTTATTTAGAGTCAATAAACGAGAGATGTATACAAGAAAATTTAAATATTGATCATGATCAGGCTAAAATTTGATTTGAGTTCAAGGGAGAGAACGTGTTGTATGAAGCTACTCTTCGTAAGAATCTATGCCCAAATTTAATTTGAAAAAGTTATCGCCCTCTTAAAAACATCTACCCTCCCAAATCTGATTTTTTGGGTTAAATTAAAGGAACAGATTGTATGAAGCTCCCCTGTATGATCGGCTTGGCTACGCCCAACATTTGATGTTTTGACCGTTTTTCGGAAAATTTGACTTTTCTCGAAAATTACCGAGCCAATCATTGAGTGTTCTATCGAGAAACCCAGTTTTGGCAATCTTTTCTTCTCAAGCGTTTACGACCTACATTTCGCAGAAAAAAGTTCGTGCTTTCGGAAAGTCAGTTTATTACTCATGCGTTAAGCAAGGGTATTGCAATCGGGTACTAGACTTTTCCCGTAAACGACTTTGTAAACAGGATGAATTCTAAAAGGTCCCCTCTTCTAGAGGATCTTCTGACTTGCTCAATTTCTTGAAAATTCAAATAAAGCACTATCCTTTAATTAGTATTTAGTTTAAGCCCGTTTCAGGTTGTAATCATCTTTTTAAAAAAAAAAATTATTGTTTTTACGGGTTTGTGGTTTTCGTCCTAGTGTCTGTCGATTGAATTTCCGTTTTTTTAAAACGCCATTTTTATTATCTTGTAGGGTTTTATTGGTTTGCTTTTTAAAGTATGCATTTTGTTACAATTTAAACAGTGTTCACCTTTATTTTTCAGATTTTTTTTGCATCGCAGATTTTTGAGCTTTTACTGTTTCTTAGAATCTTTTTGACTTTTCTTAATAACTACTTCATCAAATTTGAGATAAGAAAAGAACCGGTAACGAGAATTTTTCGAGAGAATCGGTAGCGAGTTTCCCCGTAGAAAGTTGATTTTTTTTTGCAAATTTGGTTTCGTTTAGGCTTGTTGGGAGAGGGATAAGCACTCAGCTTATCAATATTATAGAAATAGCTTCAGTTGACTACAAACAACTTACTAAAATCCATAGTAAAAGCGAACATCATTTTCCCCATATATATGTTTGTTCACACGATGTCTGAAATTGTGGTCATCTCTACTTTAGTCAATGCATGTCTGTCTATTAAATGCCCGTTCTATTCGAATTTTTTAAATGTTGGTTGTAAGTTTACCAACTCCGATTTCAGTATGTCAGTTTTTATGTTTTCTTTTTCTCTTCAGTCGGCTTGAAATGTTTCGGCTCATCATATAGCGGCCTAGAGGCCCTAATTTTGTAAATCTATTTTGAACTTTTAAACTCAAAATTCTAATTTGATGATTGAAGAATAAGGTCCCGAGAGAAGACCACAGATATTCGGTTGAACTAGCTTTTTTCGGTGAGCCGCTGTTATATCTCCGATTCATTTTTTTGTGTTTTTCTAATTAAGATTCGAAGGTATTGAAGACTCTTTTATAGGTCTTGGTGATTTTTTTCAGGAAAAACTCTTGAAATGCTCTGATAATTACAAAGGGCATTCATAGATGTTAATGAATATATGAATGCGTATAGGTTTTAATGCACTTTTTGAGTTCAATCCAAATTCATCTGCTAAAACTTAAGTAAATTGCGCTCTCCAATTAAAAAAGCTGAAATGGCGCTAAAAACTGGAAAACTGAACGTGGGAAACTGGATTTCCTAGCGGAAAAGAAAGTTACCTATTGTTCCAGTGTTTACACAAGCAAAGTATTAGTCGAAAATATTAGTGTTCATTTTGATCAGTAACCAGCTATTAAGTACAGCCAATGCCAAGGATATAAACACAGATTATTATATTAGAAATAGCACTTTAGCTTCAAGGTATCATGGATCTGTAGCGTTTAGGTAGGGAAGGAGACCCGTAACAAAATAGGATGATTCGAAACTGGGCAGGGTCGGATGGTTTTAATGAACTTTTTTGTTCACTAATTAAAATGCGTTCTCTCTATAAATTGAGGCATGTTAGTTGGTTTTTTTTTTCAAATTGACTGGTACTGCTAATGCGTCATAATTGGCTTGCGTCACCTAGAAATTATTTAGACTCATAATTGGCGTGCATCACTTAAGCAATTCATTCAGTTTTTCAATGTAGCGTTATTGGTGATATTTTTGCTTGTGTATGCTAACTACAACTTCGACTCTGTCTGAATTTGGGTTAATTTTATCACAGAAGTGTCAATCGTAAATTGTTGTTGTATGTAATTCAAACAGCGTCGGGGCCATTAATTTTTTCTTTGAAATTCGAAAGTTGTTCATACTACTATAAAGGTCGTGATGAAATTTTTTTTTTATGTTTTTTTTTTCAGTTAATAGTCTTAACAATTGTTCACGCTCAAATCTGATTTTTCTGCGGTTTGTTTTTTGATTTCTTTTTGCGTTCAGTTCATTTCATTGGCTTAAAGGAAGACAAATTCCCTTTGTTATTGTTACCATTGACTTCGAAAATTGATTTTAATTATCAGATTCACCACCTTAGAAAAAATTTACTTATTGATTCAGTTTTCGCAATTTGGGTTAATTTTTACAAAGAGTATCAATCATAAATTATTTTTAGAAATTCAAAGAGCTTTAAGGTCATCTTTTTTTTGAAATTCGAAAGTTTCTAGATCGAGATTTTTTCAAATCGGAAGTTCGAGATTTTTTCAAAAAAAAGTCGGTGTTTTTTTCCGTTTTCTCGCGTTCGTTGATTCTGGTCCAACTGACTGATGGCAATGTTTTCTTTGACTCTTTCGCAACTCTTATGGCTATGTTTTTTGTGCTGACTGGTAAATTCGCCTTATGTGCTAGGAGCTAGTAGAGATCATATTACGACCTTAGAGAAGCAGTCTGTTTCAGGGTATTGGTCAAAAAATGGTGTGTAATTGGGATAGGTCTAATATGTTGGTTCCAAATTTAGAAAAAGTATGCAACTTGTCTGTTTGCTTTCTCTTTGCTCTTAAATGACTTAAGTGTTAACTTTATCTGTATTCTTTTAGGCAAAGGAATCAGGATCTAATGAGTTCAAATCGATAAACGAGTGTGTCACCTGTTTGACGAAACCAGAGCAACCAAGTCTGTACTACATCGGAGCCATGCAATGTCTCCTGTCTCTCGTACTAAACGAACAAGATAAGATTCTGGCTCGAAAAGAAGGCGCACTTGACATTTTAGCACAGTTTATTTACCAAAAAGGCACATCTTTGTTGAGCTGCTCAAATGAAAGAACTGGAAACGAAAAAATCTCGAAGAGTGCGAATAGCGCTGAAGATGGAGATATGATGATTTTGATTAGTTCTTTCGATGTTTTGAGGTCATTGTCGACGAATTGCTTCAGTAATCTGGAGTATATAACTAAAACGCATCTGGACAGTTTGAAAGTTACACTTGATTTGTTGTCATTGCAAAATGGTACGAAAGTAGAGCTTACAGTATCGACGTTGCAATTTGTTTCTGCTCTCTTGGAAGATAAGTTTTGTCGAAGATCCTTAGTGAATAGTTGGGGTGGGGATTCAATCGTTAATTCAGTTTTGGCTGCAACAAATATTGCTACTATGAATGAGGAAAAAGCAGCTAAAGTGTCTTGGAAGAAGAATAATGAAATAGTTCATATGACAGGGTTGGTGCTCTTAAACAAACTCTCGGAAATGAAGGAATTCCAGATTATTATCAGCACAAAGCTACTAACTGAATCGGCAATAGAGAGCTTGACCAAGTTTATCGGAAATGAAGACAAAATGTCGAATAAAAATAGAAATGCGATTCTATCGGAGGGAGCGATCCTTATCACACACATGGTAAACTCAGCCGAACTGGGAACCTCAAAAGGATCCAAAGAAGTTGAAAAGCTGTCGAGTGCTCTAACAGGCTTAGTTGAGAGCATACTAAGTTTGTTGGAAAAAACAGCTGCGCAATTGATTCAGAACAAAAACAAGCCATGCGTATCTTTGACAACCACCAATAAATACCTGTGCCTAATTTACTCTTTCTTGCAAAGCGAAGAATTAAACACGGAATCAACGAAAGAAAAAGCTCTCAAAGTTTGCGACCAATTCATATTGTACGTAGACCCGCCGATAAAATCGATTTCAGAAAGCGATGAACTGACTTTAAGCTCAACAATACTTGCAATTTTGAAATCAATTTCGGCAAAATCAGACAAAACCTGTTTAAAATTGTGGACTGGAAATAGTGTAATCAAGCTAATAAGCAGCCTTATAAAACTGTACAACAGTAGTTTGAAAACAGAATCTTCTTTCGATGAAAGCGGACTGGAAACTAGTTGCCAAGTTGCAAGTGGATTACTGGCTGTTATTTTGAAGACCATTCCTACGAAAAATCGATTGCGTTACTGGACTGATTTTGATACCAATTTGAACCAACTGCTAACTAGTCTCAAATTGACATCCGATATCAAATCTAGTGCGGCTGAAATTATATGTGCCAATAGTGCTTTAGCGTTATCATTTCTGTTGGATTCTCTAAATAGTGCGAAGGTGAAATCGTTGTCAGAAATGCACCCTAATATCTGCCAAGAAATGTTGGCAATAGCTTCAAATCATACCAATGATAAAGTGAGAGGGAACGTAGCTATTGCATTGAGCAAGTTAGTCAGCAAAGACCAGAATCAGCTGGATCAACTGAGGAAACTTGATGGCCTGAAAATTTTACACGACTGTGTTCAATTTGTGGACTAGCTTGAATAAAAACCAAACAGCGGAAAAAAACGAGCAGCAAATATGATCGAACAAAATACATATTTCACAAAATGTAAACTAGTGAACTTTGTTCAAAATTGTGTATTTTATAAACTGTAAATTTGTCTATTTGTACATAATACGATAATACGTTATAGTCTATGCATAATTGATTGTGGTCATAACATACTGAATAATTCAAAATTTGATGTGTCAATGAACGAAATGAAACGAAGATTTAGGTATTGTGATTTTTTTCAGGAAAAAGATTTAAAAAAAAAGCTGTCCACGCTCAATTGTGAGTTTTCGCGTTTTTTTAAATTTCGAGTCCGGTTTTTTTTCTCAAATTCATTTGCTGAAAGGAAGGCAAATTACGCTCTTCAATGTCGAAAATGCAATAGGGGAGAAAAAGAAACGGACAGTGCGTAAAGTTTTAAACGGATTTTAATTTGCAGAATTGCCAACGGAAAAGAAATTACATGACTTAGTTTTGGGTTAGTTTCATGGATTGGGTTACTTTCATCTCTGAGAGTTCCCTGATTAAGTTAGTTTTATTGAAGATTCTTGAAACGGAAAGAGCTTTAACGTAATATGCTTTTTTCTTTCAATGTCAAAAAGTAAGATAACCTTTTTTGTTGGCCGTTTTCAGTTTTTAGCGTCAACGAAAAAAGTGGTCGACCACCTGTGTACTGGGCTTTTGATTGTTGTTCCGTTTTCAATTCTTTTTAGTTTTCCAAGCTTTAAAATCAGGTACCACAAATAATCATAAGACAGGGGCGATTTATATATTGTATTAAAGTCCTTCTCGTCGTGATTTGAACGACCCAAAAAAACTCTACAAAAATGTCCTTTTGTCGAGAAAACTGGTTTGAAGTTTTTGAGTTTTCGTCTATTTTCTAGCAATTTTGAGTAATATATGAAAATTAAAAAATTAAGCTAACGAAACTTAGTTTTACTTAAAGGGAAATTGATTTTGGAAGCTTCCTGGCTTTTCTCCGGTAAAAATTTTCTAACAAAAGTTTTTCGTACAAAATATTGAAAAAAAAAACAAAATTTTTTTCGATTTGGTTTATTTAATTTTTTTATTACCATTGAGTTCGCTTATGACCATTGAATTCGTTTATAACTTATTCAAAATTTTCGTATACTTGTATCATTACACGACGTAGAAAGAAGATACTAATTTGAAGAAGAAAGTTTTTTTTTCTGAAAATGTGGTCGGAACATTCTGTGCTACTTGCCCAGCAACCAGCTATCATTGTTTTTTTTTGTTCCGACCATTCAAAGTTTTGTATTTGAGTGTCTTTTGATTTTTTCCACGAAACATCAGGTACCCTTAAAATCATCGGAATGGGTCGGTTGAATGATATATCATATTAAAGCCCTTTCATTCCATTATCGAGAAAAACAGGTTTGAAGTTTTGAATTTCTAGTCGTAAATTCGAGCAAAGAAAACAAGCTAGCAGGCTTGCAATAGCCTTTTATGCTTAATTTTTTAGTTTTACTTTAGTACAGTTAGTTTTTGGAGTTTAATAGCGCCATTTGGGGGATTAAAAAGTCAACAAATTTTCTGCATTTTTTAAACTTCTGTTCTTCTAGTCATTTTTCTACATAAACTGTAGTCCAATTGGCCTATTTTACTATGAATGTTGAACATGCCTAAGTTCTAGCTCTAGTTTTCATCACGCAAAAAAAACGATACTCAATTGAAAACCATCACATTTCGTGTTTTTTTTTCTAAAGCTGGTGGGAACATTCTGTTCTACTACTGACACAGCAACCGGTTTTCCTTTTTTTTATTTCAAACAGGCGAGAAAGAACCTTAAGCATGCTTTTGAGGAAAACAATGCCGAATTATTAAAAAAGATTGAGCATGGAAAGACACGTAACGTCTCCCATAAAAACAAACTAGGAGCGGATCCAGTATTTTCTCGTTCGTATTTTCCATCTCTTGTTCGTGCTGCCTCATGCATCTACACATTTCTGAAGATGAAGACCTACCGGTGATTTCACGTTCATATTTTGCTCAATTATTGTGGCTAACTATCAATCAATGTGCCTTTTGTGCGTTGAGTTGCATCAACAACAAGACAATACGTAAGCAAACAATAAATTAGAGAACTGATTTCAGCGACGGTAAGAAAAATTGTAACTTTAGAGCGAAGAGTAGTAGTCTAATTCCGTTACTTGCAGTGGGTACTTCTGCAATACTGAACAAAGTTAAACGCAAACTCAGATTTTTAGCCACGAAAAGCGCAGTTTTAGAGAGCAATTTGCACAATATTGAACATGAGTTGCATTAAAGTTTTCATAGCTTTTAACAAATTTATCGGGCAACGTCTGAAGTTTTTGAAATAATTTTGACTTTCAAGCTGAAAATTATTAGAAATAATTCGTTGAAATTTCGCGTTTAAAAATGACCTCTAAAAAGCGCAATCATTTTGGTTTGCTCTTTTGACAGTTCATATGCAGTTTTGAAAATTCGGTAATTTCATTTATTATTTGCTGTCGCAAAGTCAGAATTATTTCAGAAATTTAAGACGTTGTCCGATAAATTTGTTAAAAGCTATACATCAATCGAAAGCGAATTATCTAAACGAACCAATTTTTGTTTTAGGGTTTGACCCGTTTATTGTTTCGACGATACGAAAGTAACGGAATATTTGTGCTCGGGGTGGGTTTTTTTTCTTCAGACAAATTTCGACTTTTTAACTAGCCATTTTTGACGGATTTTTTTTGTATTATTCGAAAGCTATTGTTGTCTTGAGCTTAAATTTGAAAAGATATTTCACCTGTGATCTTTTTTCGTAAAGTTATGGGGGTTTAGAGACTGGCGTTTTGGCCAATTTGGGACAATTAACGCGCGATATATTTCGCGCTTTTAACGCGTAAGCGGAGACTCAACCGTTCTAGAAATTGTTCAAAATTGGTTGAATAAAGCTTATTCGCCATAATTGATTGTTACTAGCAGCGAAATCTATTCTTTTGTACTTAATATTGCGTATGGGGGTATGATTTTCATGAAAAATTTCATTTTTTTTTTAAATTTCCATTTTATTACATTTTTTTTTTGTTATTACTGCTCCATAAACCTTAAAAGGCTGTCGGAACATTCAGGGCTTTGCCCTGATACGAGCAGTCTTGTTCCTTTTTCAAATTGTCAGTTCTCAACATCTGCAACAAATTTTCCCAGCAGCATAGAAAATTTCAGAACGCCTGAGTTTCAAAAACTTTAGTTTGAACGAGCAATTTTTCTTGCTTGGTTTTTTTAAACTGCATTAAAAATAATATGAGTCTCTTAAATAGCAGGTTTTTCACGCGGTTAGGAAAATCCACTGCGGATGGTGAATGTCCAAACCCAGAATAAACTGGTAAATCCTTGAATTGAAAACTGAATAATTTCATAAGCCATCGGTTGAGATATTATCTTTCCTGAAAATTGAAACGATTAGTTACCAAAATGAGAGTATATTTTCATGATCAAAGACAGTTTAGAAAATAAAAGCTGACATTGGGTTTCATTTTCGCCTTTAGCTGTGCTTTCAGAGCCGATTCCTATTTTTTGAACCAGACTTTAACAGGGCTACCTCGAAGGTATTGTTGGTAACCATGTCCCAATCAGGACCTATGACATTTGAAGTTAACTTCACTAACAGTTTTTTCTATAATTGTTGTATTGTTTGTTTGTGAGGTGATTATTTGTTAGTTTACAGCCGCATGTCAATATTGTCTTTGCGCAAATCTTTCTACACCCTAGTCGATTACAGCAAAATAGAACACATAGGATTCATCGAAAGCACGCGCTACACAAGTTCTAGCAATTTAAACAAACAATTTGAAAAACATTATGGTTTTTTGTTTCAGGTCACAAATCGAAAAAGTTTTGCGTTCTAGTTCTAGCATCAATTTGTCCTCCCCTTCAAAGATTCTTGCAAGAAAACCTCCCTTGATCGACAAGGGAACCCCAAAAATAACGCACCTTTTCAGCGTGACTTAGAAAAAATGACAGTAGAAGACAAACAAAAAATAATCTCATCGGGATCATAACCATGCAGACGACTGAAACAGCTGAAATGCTATCCCAACGAATTGTGATGCCATTCCAAGTAAGTAAAAGTTTGATCAGAGGCAGTTGAAAATTTTTTGCTATTGCGTTTCACTAGTGAATCACACACAGCACTGTACTAACTTCGATGCAATCCTCTACCTAAAAAGTAAAGAGACAAAAGTTGACCATACCGATTCGAGAGCACCTGCTTTGTCCGGAAAACTTCGCAAGGTCAAAGAATCTGAAATGAAGATGTACAGCAGAAATTGTTTCTTGGAAATAAGTGCGTTACGTTCCCTGATTACGCTCTGACAATTACATTGTAACCTTTCTATCAAAGTAATGTACTGCTTTAAAAAATTTTATCGTTTTGCCGTAATTAAACAAGGACCAGTTTTTTCGAAAAGAAAAATGCAAAGCCTAAGGAGTAACAGGCTTTTGATATTAAATTTAACTTAGATTTAATTTAACTTTGATTTAAGTTGGTAAGTGGTGTTTGAGTAAAATATATTTTACTAATTGGTATTTTTGTTTGATTACATCTGGTTGGCTCTTTTCTCGTCCGAAGCCATCTGCGTATTTAAAAAAAGATTTATCTATTCCCATTGTCCGATTGTTACAGCAATTGTCAGGCAAGAGATTATTTAGGCCATGCACGAGAGATTATTTAGGCCATGCACACAAATTTAGTCATCACATTTTACCTTGTAACACCCCTCGCTAATATAAAGCTTATATTAGGTGGCGAAAAAGAAAAAACCTTCCAGTTTCCTCAAAATTATCGAATCATATAATAATTATAAATTGCTGGCAGGTGCCTAAAAGTGTGAAAGTTACAGAGTACAGACATTCCGAGAGAATTAACTAAATAAAACTGCAAAATAAGTCATGATAGAAATACAAAAGAATTGAATTGCATAAAGATTGGCTATTGGTGAAAGCACTTGAAAAAAAAACGTAAATAATGTAATGCTGTCAAGAGCGATAATGCTTATTAACACTTCTGAATTGTAAAATGCGTACATTTATACAGTTTTGATTTTGAGAGGAAGAATCTCAATGACCCAGTTGAGGTGGTCGAATTATGTTTCAACCGTATGTGTTGAACGAAATCGGATTATCGACCCGTTTTGAAAAAAGTTTTATAGGCGAAAGA